CCTGCTCGCTTCAGTGCCTGGCTGCCGGCCGCCATCTTGGCTGACAGTTAATTTGCATATACTCACTGATTAGCCAATGAAAAGGGTAGTGGTCGTACACCAATTACCATGTTTCTCTTTTATTAGTGTAGATTAAAATATATTTTATTGATTTTTTTACAGAGAGGAAGGGAGAAGGATAGAGAGTTAGAAACATTGATGAGAGAGAAACATCGATCAGCTGCCTCCTGCACACCTCCTACTGGGGATGTGCCCGCAACCAAGGTACATGCCCTTGACTGGAATTGAACCTGAGACCCTTCAGTCCACAGGCCAATGCTCTATCCACTGAGTCAAACCGGTTAGGGCAGGAATATTTATTTTTAAAAAATTCTATCCTATGGGTATGTCCTATAGAATAGAATTTTGTTTTTATTTTTTTGTTAATCCTCACCTGAGGGTATTTTTCCCACTGATTTTTAGAGAGAGTAGAAGGGAAGGGGAGAGACACAGAGAGAGAAACAGTGATGTGAGAGACACATCAATTAGCTGCTTCCTGCACAAGCCCTGCCCAGGGCCAGGGATTGAACCTGCAACTGAGGTACGTGCCCTTGACTGGAATCGTACCTGAGACCCTTCAGTCAGTGGGCTGACGCTCTATCCACTGAGCAAAACCAGCTAGGGTTAGGATTATTTTTGAAATATATTTGAATTTGGCTTCACTGAACATTTGGTAGGATAAGTGTTCTTCATAGCACCCTTTGGGGGAATGCTGGTGTAGACCATCAATATAAGAATGGAAAAATGAGGCCGCATTTTTTATCTTGTCCAATTACTGGGTTTAAATTATTTGCATGATTGTTGCAATATTGTTGAAGCCTGGGCTGTGAGTATACATTGCAGAAAAGTGTTCTTTAGAACTCTTAAATAAAATAAACCTGAAGAGCACTCTTCCGATAATGGAAATGGAAAGCTTGTATATTCTTCATCATCCTCGCTCTACCTATTTGGTAAATCGGAATTGTTCTGTTCTTTGTTTCTGGCTTAATACGTAGAAAAAGTCCTAGATTTTTCACAAAAAGTGTTTAATGTTTTTCTTTTGCAAGTTTCAAATGCCTTATTTACATGAACATTACTACTATTAAAGTCAGAAATGTAAAAGAAAAACAAGAAAACAAAAGCAAGGCCCCCAGCCTCCAGTTGCTCACTGTCCCCCTCTGTTGTCACCCCTGGGGGTAATTCCTCCCTTACTGTCCCAAGAAACATCCGAACTGGTGTCAGCTGGACCCAACCATTGACTCCTGAGACTAGTGAGGGGGTGGGAATGGTCCGTCTGTCAAGGTGAAGGGCACTGGGCTGTGGGTACAGCTCTCCTGCGTCTGCCTAGAGATCGCCCGCTTCTCTGCCGAAGCCGCAAGTTGACAAATTGTCACCACTCCCCATCACTGGTGCTTTGGGTGCCAAGAGGGAAGTTTGTGAATATCACCAAATTCGAGTTTTAACTCGGAGTTTCCATCTTTTCTTTCGCCAAGCACTCATTCACTCTGCACGGATTGAGTACTCTGTTCTTAGCACTGGGAAACCCACCATGAAGGAGGCTGCCTTCAGGGAGCTTACAGTGTGTGTAGAGCAGAAACTGTGGGTTGGGGCTGTCAAATGGGATTAGATAAGAGTGTGTAACAGGGAGACCTGGCTTAGTGTGTGTTGGCAGTGTGTATGTGTTGGCAGTGTGTTGTGGGCGGTGTGTGTGGAGGGTTGTGTGTATTTGTGTTGGCAGTGTGTGTGTATGTGTTGGTCGTGTGTGTGTCAGAGATCCCAGTGTGTACACATTTTGACGACCAAGTCTGAAGATGGGTGAAGCCTCACCTCCAACCGAAACGCCTTCTTGATGTTGATGGGTTTGGAGGGTTGGAAGTGCACTTGCAGGCTATAGTCAGCCTTGGGGGGGATGGTGCCCTGCAGCATGGACACGGAGAAGTCCTCGCCCAGGTGCTCCAGGCTGGTGATCCTCCAGGCCACGGGCAGGGCCGTGACGTTGTGGAAAAGAACTACTTTGGACTCTTTTCTGCAGAGACCAGAAGACATTTTGTCAGTTTCAAGTGATTTTGATTTATTGTGGCAGGTCAGAGGAAGTACTTCTGGTTATTTCCATTATAGCTCAGTTCACTAATCAGTATTTATCAAGGAATGGGGCCTGACAGTATTCATCAAAGAATGCAGCATCCATATCATAATATCATCTCATCCATTCTGTCCCAGCAGCTCCAGAAAGAAACATTCTCTATTTAGAATCATAGATTCCAGTGAACAAATATGCACGTTCTGGTTTTGATCTAATGTTCTCTGTTTGTGCTATAATCCCTAGGTTAACTATTCTTAAACTTTTAGGGTAATGGGCTGCTTTGAGAATTGGGAAAAAGCTAGTCTTTCTTCTGAGAAAAATGCAAATGTGCTCACACTTTGGCGGTTGATCTTGTGGGAGTGGGGGGTGTCTTGATGCTGCTGAGGTCCAGCAAATAGGGCTACTAACCATCCTGATTTGCACAGGACCAGAAGTTTCCCATCATGTGGGACTCTAAGTGCTAAAGCCAGGAAAGCCCTGAGCAAATCCAGATGAGTTGGCCACCCTAGAACTAAATACTCCTTCAATTCCATCCCAGTCCTGGTGGCATCGAGAACGCTGACCTGTGCAGCAGAAGCCGGTCAAAATGCAATTGCCTGGGTTCCACATCCAGTTCTGGGCGGACCCCCTCGCAGCTTAATTTGAAGATGGCTGGTTCCGGGTTCTCCTTGATGCAGCAGACTATGCTGTCTTCAAAGATACCAACTGCAGTGGGGTAGGCCCACACGGTCAGTATCTAGTGGAAGAGGTGAAACAAAGGGCATTTACACTGAGGATACCAAGGCCTCAAATTTCCCAAGAAAGTCTTACCCTGGTGGACTGGTCTCCATGGGGCTATACCTGCTTCTCATTGGGTTTGAGAATCATGTTCAGGGGTTCCAGGAAGTAGGTATTTGCTTTGACATCATTCTGGAAACAGAAGAACACCTCCGTGACCATTGGGGAATTGTTCAGGATTGTCAGTGTCTCCATGTTGCCTGGGAACAAAGATGACCTATACCTGGAAATGAACAAAGATGAGGGATAAATTAGGAATGTGGATGTGAGGATTGACTGAAATCTCAGGTGGAAAAGGCAGTTGTGGGGGTCAAGACAATTCCAAAGGACAGAGTGGTTACACTGAGGCAGCCTGATCCCTGCCCCCAAGTCTTGGTCTCCTCATCTCTAAGATGGGATGATTCCAATACTTTTAGGATTTCTGGGAGTATTAAATGAATTAGTGCAGCCAATGCTCTTAGCACAGCTGCAGATACCAAATGCTCAAAAAATGGTTGTTATTGTTGTAAAGAATTCTAAGAAATATACAGCTCTAGCCTTTCCAGGGCTTATCTTCCCAGAAGAGCTGATCATCTGAGTAATTCATTTCACATCTGTCTTAGAGATGACCTCATTCACCGCCTTCGGCACCCACACAGGATGTTACTGTTTCATCATGGACTCATTTGGCGATGTTTGCTGTTACAGGGCTGTTTGTTTCCTGGGACGTTAGGATGAGAGCCACAGAGTCAAGCAGCCTGAGCACTGGAAGCTGCTCAGTTATTGGCACTCAGAAAAGGAACCGCACAAGAAATGCCAGCAAAGACACACATCGTCAGAGAGCATAGGATAGGTCAGGAAGGCAAGGTACCATAGTACCCACTGGTGCCCAGAAACAGCCCGCAAAGCTTTGTGGACAGGCTATGATGGAGGAAGGAGGGAGAGACCAAATCAGAGTCAGAGAGACACAGCACTCTCTGTGGGACTGCCGGAGGGGTGGTGGCCTTCACAGCCACCCTCCAGGGTTGTGCTGTAAGTTTCACATGCACAATCCAGGGCAGTCTTCATAGACTGTGAGGTGGGTACTACTGTTTTCCCACTTTGCAAACGAGCACGCTGAGGCTCAGTAAGGTTTAAAAGAATAAATGAATTATACCTGGTTGCACTGGTCCTTGTTTCTGGGCCACTGTAATTGTCCTCCTCCTGGACCAGTGCTGTTTGGCCCCAAATCCTGTGTTCCAGTTCCAGTGCCGTCCCGAATGGCCATGTTTTCCTTGATTCCCACCACCAGGCATTTCTGTACCTCATGCCCATCAACCTGACCCACCTTCCTCTCTCCCAAGCCCTTCTCCTGGGCCTTGAAGATCCTCTCTATCATCAGCAAACCTTCTGCACCTTCACCTTCTAGCCCAGCACCTCAGGAAACAAACTGGAGGTACTAAGGGAATGGGGAACTAAGATGGCTCTTCAGCTCCACCAGTAAACATAGAAATAAACCCTCTATACTTATCACAATGCATGCTAGACTGAATGATGACACGTTGAGACCTTGGTTTCAGTTTGGGTCTTACCTCCCTGCCTAGAGAATAAGAAATTTGTGTATAACTGAAAAAACTAATATCACCAAAAATGTATAATCATTAACCTCACCAGGGCCTCCAATTTTGCTGGGAATCTTAATCTATTTCTCTAATATTCTCTCTCTCTCTTTCTCTCTCTCTCTCTCTCTCTCTCTCTCTCTCTCTCTCTCTCTCTCTCTCTCTCTCTCTCTCTCTCACTTTCCACAAAAACTTTTTCACACCTTCTCCATTTTCTCAGCATTTTTAACTTCCCTCCGCTTCGCTCACTGGAGAAGTCCTCCCATCATTTCCTATGGAGAGAACAGACAGTTGCTTGGGCACCTTCTCATTGTTCCAACCAAATCTGTAAGCCTACTGGCACCTGAAGCTATCTCACCTTCGTCCCTCCTTGTAATAGATGAAGGCGCCTCTTCCTGGCAAAGCCAATACCTACACATCCCATTGTGTTGTCTCGGGGAGCTGATGGCCCGTACTTTCTCCTGCAACCCCAACCTCTCCCTCCCTACTTCCCCTTGGCATCCAAACATTGTAAGAACAACCGTGTATGAACTGCCTTCCCTGGACTCCATGTCTCCCTCCCATTCTCAATTCCCTTCACAGCCGAGCTGTCCCCAAGAGCTATCTTCACACCTCACCCCCGTTTTCTCACCTTCTACTGACTCCTCAAATCACTGCACTTGGGCTACATCTTCAGAAGTCCCCCCCCTCCAAAGGGCTCTTGCTAAGGCCCCTGAGGACCTCCATGTTGTTGAATCCTGTGGACATTGATGTCCTCATCTGTTTACCTTCTCTGCAACATTCAACTGTGGTCAATAATACCCTCCTCTTGTGGCTCCATGACCCCACTCTTTTCTGGTTTCCGACAATAGCTCTGGCCCTCTTTCTCATCTCCTGTGCTGGCTTCAACTCTGGAGTGTGGTGGAATTCTTCAGGGCTCCGTCTGAGGCCCTTCTCTCCTTACTGTATCCTCTCTTCACAAGCAATCTCATCCACACCCGTAGCTTTTGTTGTCTTGAGGACAGGCAACAAAACTCTGAGAACCAAAACTGTATAGCCTATTCCCTGCTTTATGTGGCTACGAGGCATATCTTCCAAGCATCTCAAACTTAACCCATCCCAAAGTGAACTCTTGATCCTATCCCTCCCCCCTCACCAAAACCTGGTCCTCTTCCAGGCTCTCCCATCTCGGAAAATGGCGCCCCATTCATCTTAGCAGAAACTTGGGGAACAAGAACTCAGTTCTCCCAATTTGTGGTTCAGGGACTGAGGCAGCATTAATAAAAGCTATGTCTACAGAGAAACTCTGCTTGTGACACTCGTGAGCCCAACCCAGGGGTCTAAAATCTGCCTCGAGATAATGGCACACTTACTTATCTCTTGATTTTCCACAAAGCAGTGGCCCAAAGTAAAACGTGTCCGTGCTTATAATGTACTTCTTAAAGACGATCTCATCTGCTTTCATGTCCATCTTCCGCTGAGGGAATACCACTCTGGACACAGGGGAGGAAGAGAAGAGGAGAGGCTGCCCGAGAGGAAGTTCAATGCCACCCCCTGATGTTTACAGGAACCCAACACTCCCTGGTCAGCAGAGGGTCCAGGTGTCTGGAGACAGATGATTCTTAATTTTGAAGACTTTTGTTGAGCCGTTATTCCTTCTCCTTCCCTTCCCCTGGCCTGAGTGAAAACAGTGCAGTTTGAACTTGAGAAAAAAGATTCCCACTACTGTCTTTCATAATGAGGGGCTGATGACAGAAATAAGTGGGATGACCTGTTCTGGTGTGCCAGCTAGAAAAATTCCCAAGAATCCCATGGAACACTAGTTCTTGCAGATATTAACTAGTTCCTGAGTTCCTCGTCCAAGGTGGCTCCTTAATCAAAATTGCAAAAGGCCCTCTTGGTGGACAAGCTATAAAAGGCCCATTCCCTGGAGGCGGGGAGGGTGCTTGCCCCACTAGCCTGCTCGGCAAGGTGCCTTTTTGGGGTTCATAGGGGGCTCATAAAAAAGCGCACCCATGGAGATTCACACCTATTTCAGCATAAAATGTCTTACACTAAATATAAAATCTGTTTGTTTGCTTATTGGTTGAATAAGCAAAGTAACTGGTCAAATATTAGCTTCATCTCAGTCTCATGGCATCACGTCATTCCTGTGGCTTAGTCCGTGTCCAAGACACTAAAGCCCAGTACAAAAGGGTCTGGGAGTCTGTCCCAGTTCCATGTTGGTTTTAAGAGTCTTCTTGTTCAGCTCAGCTGGCATGGCTCAGTGGTTGAGCATTGACCTATGAACCAGGAGGTCACGGTTTGATTCCCAGTCAGAGCACATGCCTGGGTTGCGGCTCGATCCCCGGTAAGGGGTGTGCAGGAGGCAGCCAATCAATTATTTTCTCTCATCATTGATGTTTCTATCTCTCTTTCCCTCTCCCTTCCTCTCTGAAATTCACTAATATGTATATATATACAAGGATAAGTGACTGGCAGACCAGCTGACTGGCTGACTAGCTGGTAGGTATGATGTGCCCTGACCACCAGGGGGCAGACACTCAACACAGGAGCTGCTGAATGACAGCAACTTTGCAGAGTGCCCTCTCACACTCTGGGACCCCTAGGGGGATGTCAGACTGCCGGTTTCGGCCAATCCCCAGGCCAGGCCAAGGGACCCTATCTGCCAGAGGGATCCCGCTCACTCTGCAGATGCCCTTCAAGCCCTGGCACTGCCCCAGGTGCAGCCGGATGGGGAGGGACCGCAGGAGGTTGGCTTCAGGGCATGTCCAGCCCGTCTCGCCCAATCCCGCCCCTCTAGCCACCTTCTAATTAATTTCCTTTCAATGTGCATGAATTTGTGCACCCGGCCTCTAATATATATATGAGCCTCCTTGTTCAAAGTAGCATGGAGGAGAACTAAAATGTGTCTGTCTTTCTTTGAAAATAAAAGACACTTACTTTGGGTCTTGGCAAATGTATGGATAAGCGCAAACACCACGGCAATAAAGCTGGTACTGGCGGCAAGTTCCAAGGATCTCAAAGTTGAACGTCTGGTCATAGTTCCCGAGATCAGTAGCAGAGAACTGTATTCTCAACGACACCTCGCCATTGGCCGGCACAATCCACCGGAAATGATTCAACCTGCAAATGACCACACGGGCTTTTCAAGTGAGAATGCTCCCTTTGCTGCCCAGGAGGAGTCCTGTCCTGCTGGGGTTCTGCAGGGCGGTCTGCAGGGCCCCACAGGCAGAGCCACCCTGTTCCCATCCGGTGCCCTGACAGCCGCCCCCTCCACGTGGGGCTTGGGCATCTTCCCCCCGCCATCCCCCTCCCCCCGCCCGGCTGCGGTTACTTGGGGGCCCACCTGATGAATTTGTCCTGGGAGTGCTGCCCAGACAAGTTGTTCTGGTCCATGTCTGACAGGGGGGAAACGGTGCCAGAAATGGCCCCAGAAAGGCCCTTCCTGTTGAAGGCGATGCGGCGTTTGTCCTTCAGAGTATCCCGAACCTGGTCTGTTATTTTTTCTTTCGGTTTCTGCTTGTTCCCTTTAGACAAAGTGTTCGGCTCCTCCTGGGGTTAAATCAGAAATGAGCACAAGGTCTCACGTGCTCATCTTACTTACGTACGAACAGGAGACACAGATGCCTACAGCTGCCTGCCGGCGGGGGTGACGTGCCGCAGGCTGGGGATGCTGGTGGCTGCCTGGAGCGGGCAGGGCCCGGCCTCCCACACTGGGGTAGAAGAGAAGTAGAGGAGAGAAGTCCAGAATGTGGCCATTCCCTGAGGAGGCCAAGACCTAAAGAAAGCTTGACTCTGGCAGGGACTGGGTTCCTATATTGCATTTTGTGGTGTTTCTTTAGTATCTTTTTTTGTTTGTTAATCCTCACCTGAGAATATTTTCCCCCCCATTGTTTTCCTGAGAAAGAGTGGGAGGGAGGGAGGGCGGGAGGGGGGGGGAGAGAGAGAGAAATATCAATATCAATGTGAGACACGCGGACTGGCTGCCTCCCACATGAGCCCCAATCAGGGGATGGGGAGTGAACCTGCAACAGGGGCACCTGCCCTTGACCAAGAATCAAACCCACGACTCTTCAGTGAGGCGGCCGATGCTCCAACCACTGAGTGAAACTGGCCAAGGCTCTTTAGTATCTTTTGATAGAGACCGCGTGCCCCCTCCCAGTCACACTGATTGGAGATACCAGTTCTGTGTTCTTACAGGATATTCCATAGTTTGAAAATTTTCTGACTGTTCTCAGAGTGACATCTAACTTATTCCTTTATTCCCTGTATTTTCTATACACTGAAAATTAGGCTTCAAAGCTTGATTAGATTTATAGAGGATGCCGTGTACATCACACTCCGCCAGAGTGGGGGACAGATAATGCCAGGTTGGCCCACAGTGACAGATGCAAAGTTGTGTTCGTGTGGCTGGAGGGGTGCCTGCCAGATGTGGCCACAAAAGACTTTTCCCTCCAAAGCGGACAGTCACCTGCGGGATGACCTCTGGCTCCGGTGCGTGTCTCGTTCCCCAACAAACTGCTGCTTTTTTGTAACCACTGGCGTGCCTTAATCCCCCCCCCCCCCCGGCCCCGTCCACTGCAGATAACAGAATAATACTTTTCTCATTCTATTCTTTCTATAATGTCAGCTGTCATTCTCCTGGAATGAAGAGCTTTCCTTTGTCAATTGGAGATAGACTAGAGTTCCTCCTAAAATGGTTAAGCTAAAGAATGCTCAACTCTTTCCTGGTAATGGCCAATTTTCAGAAAAGAGTCATAGTCACCTCTGAGGTGGCAAGTTTTCTTTATTTTTTCATCTGGGCTCTGCTCTAGTAAGCCCTGCCCACAGCTGCCGCTCAGCGAAGATGTTGACTTCCTGCTTGCTTATACATTGAAGACGGGCAGGTTCTCTGTCATCCACAGGAGCTGTAGGCAGGGCCTAAAGGTAATTCTATTTGCTGCTGATTTTATTTAGTCTTTGCTGATGTGCATGGTTTGTAGGAGGTCATGTGAAGAGATTCAAATTTTGGCCCAGCATACTCTTCTGGGAATAAAAAGGCCCTCCATAATTTTGAATGTACATATCCTCTGCACATCACTGGTCAAATCTATTTTCCCTTTGTGATTTGCTTTCGTCGTAGTGTATATATTTTCTTCTACTTTTACATTATTTCATTTTGTTGCTTATATTTTTAATCCAGCTGGAATTAATTTTACTGCATTGTATCAGGCAAGGAGATAAAATAGCCAATTTCCCCATTACCCTTTCTTCAGTAACCTGTCTTTTCTCTAGTGGTGTGTGTTCCCTTAACCTGTGTCTGTCGATTCTTGTATTCTTAGGCACTGTGTACACTACTTAGCTTCATGCATACATTACACTATCTTTTTAAAAGACTAGTGTTGCTTCCTTTTCTCTTACAGATGAGCTTCTGAGTAATTTGACAAGTTCCCTAGACGGTGCCTGGGGAATGGACAGGTTGGAAGGTGAAAACCAGTCATTTTCATTTTCCTCTTGGGAAGTAGGAAAAGTCAGACCCAGGGAGAGGCTGGTGCGGGGTCCTCGGCAGGATCCCCGGCGGGTGGAGGGGAAGCACCTGAGCGGCGTGACACCCAGCACCATGCTCCGCTGCTGGCCTGTGGAGGGAGACGGCCAAGGTCAGGACGCGCTGCTCGCCCTTTACCTTCGCGGAGCTCGTGGTGGTGGTGGTCGTCGAAAGGTCTACTTCTGATTCCGCCTCTCTTTTCTCCTCCAGCAGGGCCAGCTCTTCGGAGAGTGGGATGAGAAACATAAAATGCTTCATGATTTCCGTTGGGGCCAACGGCAGCCGCTTCAGAGGGTAGGGGATTATGGAGAATAAGACTGGAGGCGGGATGGGCAGCCCAGAGGAGCCCAGGCCCAAGTAGTCCAGGATCTAAAGGAAAAACCCATCGTTAATTTGCTGCGCGGAAGGCGGGCTACCTCCCCCCCGCCCCTCCCAGAGAACAGGGCGGCTCAGACCTCCCGCCTTCCCCTCAATGTTCTCAGCAGATGCTTTCTAGTGTTTTAATGTAGACAAAGTTTGTCCCTGGACAAAAGGCTGTGATAACCACTGCCAAAGGTGGCTTTCGTTTATGCAAAATCTTTTGTTTTTAGGAACATAAGAGCTACCTCATAGTATAATTTCTGTTACCGTGGGAAGCTTGTGGGAAAAAGGTTTTTGAGTGGTTGAGCCTTTTGCTTCACCCCAAATCTGCCGGCCTCGCCAGCATGTAACACCGAACCGTCAATATTAAAAATCGACCCTGCAGGTGGCTTTTCAGGAGGTTAGATGGAATAACTTGGATCTGTGGAACTTCTTATGGATTGTCACCACATGGAAAAAGGCCCTTTTAGCCATTAGTCTTACCTAGGGGGGGTGGGTATCAGAGATGAATGGATTTAAGGGGATATAGATGTTAATGTGGAAAGAAGTTCTTTCATGACCATTAGCACAGTACCTGCTACCTGATGGCTACATCTCCATCCCGGAGGAGGGTCTGTACCTGATCCCCTTTGGGAAGCTTGTCATTCTCCAGGGCCTGCTTCCAGGTGGAGCCGTCAAGGTCGGGTGTCTGGATATTGATGAATGGCACACCCAGATCCCTCTTCCCTTCGTGGTCCTCCTCCCTGTCCACCTCTCCTCCATCCGGCTGCTCCTCCAGCGCCCGGAGCCTCTCCAGCCGCTCCCGCTCGGCCCTCTCCCGCTCCAGGCGCTCCCTCTCCGCTCGCTCCTTCTCAGCGCGCTCCCTCTCCCGGTCCTTGCGGCCTTTGCGCCCACCCGAGGGGACCTGGCGCTGGTCTTCGGGCTCGTGGGCCAGGTCCTCAGCCCCCATGTGAGGCACTTGGATGCCTAGCTTCCGGTCCCAGTACATGAGGAGGTTCTGGATATCCTTCAGAGTCAGCTCATAGGTCTTAAACCTCTGGGCCAGAGGCTTGTCAGCTTCCTTCTGGAGGTCCCCATCGCTGTCCTCCTGATCCTGGACCAGGGAAAACCCGAGGGCGACGTTGTTATCTGCCACCTGGTTCTTTTTCTTCTTGCTCAGTTCGTCCTTCTCAGCCATTCCCTGGTCCTTCTCAGAAGTTTTTGGTTCTACCAAGTCCATCTTGCCTTCTAGTCTGGAAAAGGTAAGAGTCTAGAAGGCAAAACACAGAACATAGGCTTAAAACAGTTCTTTCAGGGAGAGCAGATCACTGAATCACATGAAAAAAGAGTGAGAGGATGTTTTGTTTTGTAAGAAGTCCTCACGGGATTCCAGCCACTTAAGTACAGTGGACTTGTGCCTAAGAATCACTGTGGGGACCTTTATCAAAATGTCCATTCTGTGGCCCCCCTTGGTACAGGTCCCGCTGGGACCTGGCGTTGGGCACAGTGACGTTGATGTGCATTCTGGTTGAGAGCTGGTGTTCTGCAGGACCAGCAGGAGAAGATGACCCGGAATGGCCCCTCTACACCTGCTTTCAGGTGCCTGTGAGAGGCACAGGGTGTTGTGGTCACTGGACTCTTGCTCACCCACTGGGACCAGCCTGCACCTTGCCTGGGAGTCTGGCTGTCACTTCACTCCCAGAACTCACAGCGCTGAATGAGCCACCCTGCACCCCTCAGCCATGATGGCCACCTGGGCGCTGCTTGGGCTGCTCGGCCCCTTCCCCATCACAGTGGACACAGATGTGACCCCTGAGCTTGACAGGTTGACACACTGATGGTCCTTGTTCTGCAAGGACAAGCTGATGTTGAACTTCTCCCTGGACTGTTACCAAGGGCAAGCTCCTGGGTGAGCACAGGGGTGTCGCTGACTTGGTAACTTACTGGAGGCAGATCTTTACTACCAGCCTCTTCAGCACTGTCCAGAGGGCTTGAAGAGACGGTGGAAAGAGCAAGGGCTGTGGTCGGACATAACTGGGTGAGATCCTGGAATTTCGACTTCCCCTCTCTCAACCTCAAACGGGATTCCTGTCTTTGAACCTCGAAAGGTGGGGGCCAGGATGCCAAAAATGACGGGATTGCACGAAGCATAAGCCCAGAGCTTAGCACACAATCATTGCTCAACAGATGTTGGTCCCTTTCCTCCTACCTTCTGCTCCAACATAAAACCCACCTAGTAGTATCGGGTCAGTTTTCTGGGGGGGGGGGGAAATGGGCTGGAATGAAGGGCTGGTTACAACGGCTGGCCCCTCTGCTTTCTCCTCGTGGGAAGGAGCAAGTGGGGGTTGCTACCTGCCGGCTGGGCTGAGACTTCTTCAGGGCTGGCTCCTCCTTTGGTGCTAATTGCTTTGTCTTTCTCGTCTTCTTTTTTTGCTCATCTTCTTCCTTTTGCCGCTCAAGCTCCTGTTGTAGCTTCTTTTCATGCAACTCTCTTGCCAATCTCTCCAGCTCCCTTTATGAAACCAGGCAGAGAAAGCTGAGTTCAGAGGCCACAGGATCAAGCCCCTCCCTGCCTGGGATTGCTGGGTGGGGGGACATGTGGCAGAGTCTTCTTGGGCATAAAAAGAAAAAAAAAACAATGAAAGCTCAGAAACTAGGAAGGGAGGAAGGAAAGGAGGAAGGAAAAAGGGAGGGAAAGAAAAAAGGAAAGGATGGCTCACATCTATCTTTGAATGGTCTTTCAGCAAAACTGATGAACTGAAACTCAACTAAGAGTTCTCATCTAGGCCTGGCTGGTGCGGCTCCGTGGTCGATCTATGAACCAAGAGGTCACGGTTCGATTCCTGGTAAGGTAACATGCCCGGGTTGTGGGCTCAATCCCCAGTCGGGGGCATGCAGGAGGCAGTCAATCAATGATTCTCTCTCATCATTGATGTTTCTCTCTCTCCCTCTCCCTTCCTCTCTGAAATCAATACAAATATATTTTTAAAAAAAGAGTTCTCACTTAATTTGTATTTCTATTCCAACTCCTTTCCAAGGAGAGCAAGGCAATGGCTGAAAGTAGGATTGATGTTTTAAAAGAAGTTCTCAGAGATTGTTCTGATATTAGCACAGTATCCCAGCTTCCTACACTGTCATTTTATGTTCAGAAAGCAAGAAATGGTGTGTGTTTTTTTAAGAGGCTAATGTGGTTTCTTTCTTTCCTTTTTTTAAAACATATTTTATTGATTTTTTACAGAGAGGAAGGGAGAGGGATAGAGAGTTAGAAACATCAATCAGCTGCCTCCTGCACACCTCCTACTGGGAATGTGCCCGCAACTAAGGTACATGCCCTTGACCGGAATCGAACCTGGGACCTTTCAGTCCGTAGGCCGACGCTCTATCCACTGAGCCAAACCGGTTAGGGCAAGAAATGGTGTTTTTAATAGCAGTCCCTACCATGGCTAGCTTGGAACCACAGTGTTTACCTGAGAGCCACAGTCCTCTCCTCTCTCTTTCCCTTCCTGCTATGAATTCAGCTGTGCCTGCCCTGCTGCTAATGGCAGTGTGGGCACCAAGGCCAGGCGCCAACGTGAACACATGCGGAGGGAACAGCATCTCTGGCATGACAAAACCCACCTATTTTCATCTCCAGGAATCCCTGGTTGTTCCTTGTTGCTGTGGCTCTCCACCCACTGAAGCTGACTCATCATCACTGTGTGTGTGTGTGTGTGTGTGTGTGTGTGTGTGTGTGTGAGACACACAGGTCATTGCTGAGCTTTGATGACCAGATTTGCATTTGCTAAATCCACCTTGAGATGAATGCCTGAAAGCAATGCCTGGAGGAGAAAAAGAGATTCTTTTGGAATCCAATAATGAGGCCTCCATACCACTGGAGGGCAGGCATTATACAGTGGACCAAGCAGGAGAAGAACTGAGGGTCTCCTGCAGGCTCCTTGGGGGTTAGTGGGAGGGGCCTGGAGGTGGAAGGAAAAGGCAGAAGGAAGGAGGTACTAGTAAAATTGCAGGCAAGTATCTTGGCTCTGCCCCCTTCAATGCTGGAATCCTAGGGAGTGGTAGGGAATGGGGCCCCTTCCCCCAGCACATATGAAGGCAGCAAAGACATATATCCCACTGCCACTATGTCTGAGAGCCTGAAATAGCAGCCCTGCCTCTGCTGGGCCCTAGGGGGTGTGGAGGGGATCCGGTCATTCCCATGTGGTCCCAACGATGGGTCTAGAAGGGGCTGACAGTGCTGGCTGGGAGCACTCAGGCCGAGGATCAAGCTGGAGAAGCAGCCAGACCTCAGGGGATGGACAGCACCATCCAGGGCCAAGCTGATGGCCGGGGAAGGAGGAGAAATGGCTGAGTTCTGGGGAGCAACCACCATGTCCACATGAAAAGAGTGGTCCCCGGTCACCACACCTAGGGCACAGTGGTCAGAGAGAGCCAATGGAAGCCCTAGGATAGCACTGGGGCCAGAAGCCCCTCCCCTATTACATTGCATAGCCTTCACCCAGCCCCGTGTCCCTGAGAGAGAAGGAGGGAGAGGAGAACAGAGAGGCCCTGCAAGGCTGCAGCACCCACCACCCTAGAGGGGCAGGACGTTTTCCTGCTCCCTGTCGGTCATCCTCCCGGTCTCCTGTGGCCATTGCTGCCACCCTGGAGGATGACCCTGGTCCCCGGGATGGGCTCCTGTGGGCCCCATGGAAGTTGCTCCCAGGGGAACTGCTCCGCTCGGGCCAGCCCTTGACTCTCACCTCTTCTTCCTCTCCCGCAGGGCCTGCTGAACCTCTCGATTGAAGGCGATTTTCTCCTCCTCTGTCAAGGCATCATATTCTTCCTCATCCATATTTTGGAGACGCTCCTTCTCTTTTTCAAGCGCCTCCCTCTGTTTCTGCTCTGTGTCGGGGAACAGAGATGGGAAGGGGAGGAAAGTCACACACAGCTTGTGGCAGTGAAAGGTGGCTGGGGTGGCAGCAGCATTCCTAGTCTCTGCTGGGGCTTCCTTCACTCACACAGTCCCAAAACCGGTCTCCGTCTGTGGCCGGCTGAAGAGTGGCCCCAAAGACACCCATGTCCTGATCCCCAGAGCCCACACATATGTCCCCTGACATGGCATGAAGGATTTGGCAGATGTGATGAAGTTAAGGAACTTAAGTTGGAGAGGTTTTCTTGGATTATCTGAGTGGACCCAATATAATCACCAAGGGCCAGAGTCGGAGAAGGTGATGCGGTGATGAAGCAGAGGGAGAGTAGATGTGACAACAGAAACAAATGCCAGAGGGCTGTGAGGTAGGGATCATGAGCCAAGGAAACAGCAGTCCTCTAGGAAGTGGAAAGGGAAGGGAAGGGATTCTCTCCTGAAGCCTCCAAAGGAGTAGAGCCCTGCTGACACCTCGATTTTAGGACTTCTGACCTCCAGACCGTAAGAGACCGTAAGATAATATATCTGTATCCCCAGTAGTCACCAGGTTTGTGGTAATTTGTTGCAGCAGTAACAGGAAATATACCACCCACTGGCATCAACCTTTCTGAGCACAGCCACTGAAGAGCTCAGGGCGACAGAACTCAGGATCGTCTTCCACGCCTGCTGATTCGGGTCCAGAGTGTGGTTCACACTCAGCACAAAGGCACCCGGCTTCTCGTTCACACGCCACCGGCACGATATCCTCACCTTACATTCTCATTTTAGCTTTGGGCTCAGCGATCTGCATTTGAGTCCTTTTCCCAACATTTACCAAGGGACAGAAACAGATAAGAATAATAATTCCCCCTTCATAGGGTGTTGTGGGCTCAAATAAGCAATCATGTAAAGCCCCGTGCCTGGCATATTCATAAATGTTCAATAAGTATTAGATTTGGATATAATAATATTATTACATTTGCTGTCTCAGGGCTTTTTCAAAATGTAACTGTGAAAAACTTCAATCCACAGATAACTGAGAAAATGAAAAGAGTTATTTTCTTTTAAGTTGCTCCTTGTGGGGAAATGAGTTTTCTGGAAAACTAGGGACCTGGAGGTTGAAATCCTGCTGGAAACCTGCCTGGCCATTCCTCCTCATCATTTTCCCCGGAATGAGAATATAAGGAAGCAGTATGAGTTCTGTTTAAGAACTAAGAGAGCTCAGTGTTTGTGAATATTCCCTTCACTGGAAAAGCATTATGATTTGTGTGGATTGTTCTAGAAGAGAGAGGGAAGGCCAAGTGAGGAAGGGCAGTGATGTGGATGAAGCGGAGGCCAGAGCAGGAATCTACTTCCCAGGGGTAGTGTCACCTCCTCTCTTGGGGGCCACAATTTGGTAGGTCTGCTTCTGACTAAATTGGGAACTTGTTCACTAATATTACTCGGTGCGCATGTATCTAGTTTTCAATCAGTGAAAATTATTTCCAGGCGACTGGTGTAATGACAGAAAAAAAAAAAGGAAAGGTCTTACTAATTTGCCATGTGATCTGACATAATATCTCTGAGCCTCATTTTCCTCATCTGTAAAATGGGCACGACACACCATTTAAAGACATCCAATGTGTACACAAGGTCTGCCGCACAGCCTGGTACACGGGAGGCCAAAATGTACACTTGGTTTCGTAGAGTTTAGCAGCACCTCTAGTTTTACAGGCAATGCACAGTTGGCTAAAACAAAAACCAACAAGCTGACCGGTCACCTGAGTCAGGATGGGACTTGGGATGTGTTCCCTGGGGGTCAGCTGTAGTTCTGGAGAAGATGAGTGTGAACAGTGAGATCCTGGACAAAAGAGGACTGTGCCTGTTGTCAGAAGAGCCAAGTCCACCCTTTAGTCTATAATTTCTCTACAGGTCCTTTCTGCCTCAGTTCCCACACATAAAAAGTGGAAGAAATAAGAACTCCCAGCCACCTTATGGGGCAGAGGTGGGGCACCTATGAGATGGAAAATGGAATAGTTCATTTAAGCCCAATGGGCTATCATGCCAGGGAAGCATTTAAAAGGGGCAGATGCTATATGCAAAGGAAAGACTTGTGAGCGCCTGTGAAGGACAGTCCGGAAGGGCATGGGCCTTGCCTTCTTGCTCCTTTTTGGCTTTCTCCTGGGCCTTCATGCCTGTGTAATCCTGGGGCATGTTGAGGACGTAGATGTGCTCCCTGTTGCCAATGGCCTTCAGCAGGCAGAGGAGAGCAATGGCCGCGTTCCGAGCAAAGAGTGTGTCGAGGCTGTCAAACACCACTCCCAGGCTGCAGTCACTCAGCTGAAACCAGAGAGAACAGAGGCAGTTACCATGGCCACCGGGCCATCTGTTCTCTACAGAGCTGCTTGTTCTTCTGCCAGTGCTTTCACTGGGGCTGCAATTGGTTCTGCAAACCTACTGAGCCCTGATAAAAGTACCATTTGACTACCTGCTAGATTCAAGGTGCTGTTATAAAATAAAGAGAAAGGAAAAATATTCAGTCAGTCACGGAAGAGCTTCATCGTACATACTTGAAGAGCAAAGGGTTTATGCTGTCTCTATAAACCCTTGGGAACTTGTTGCAAACTGGGCACAATATTAATTGCACATTTAAAAATGATAAAATCAGACTTGAGGTTCCCAGCAGAGGAGGAATGTCGTTCCTGGAAATGACTTGTGTAATGTTTGGACCGCTGCTGTGTTACAGGCACCACCACTCTCAACTCACTTGAGCGAGGCGGTCACATAAGTGTGCAGGTATTTCATGAATCCGGATTAAAGGTAGCGAATCACTGGGAAAGCCCAAGGGAAGCCAGTAGAGCTGTGCTCCTTTGAGCTGTGCTCGAATCCCAGTCAGGGCACATGCCCAGGTTGAGGGCTCGATCCCCAGTAGGGGGTGTGCAGGAGGCAGTCAATTTATGATTCTCTCTCATCACTGATGTTTCTATCTCTCCCTCCCTCTCCCTTCCTCTCTAAGGAAACAAAGAAAACAAACTACATGTTAAAGTGTTGGTCTGGGAAGATTCAGGAGATCCAGGGAAGGAAGATGCAAAGAAAGATGTCCTTGTGTGCAGGGTCATCGGCAGCAAGGACAGAGGTAGCAGATGGGCCATTCTTAGTGGCGTCACTGCCTTGGGGTGTAATGCTTTTGATATTATTAACCATTCAAGAATAGTCTCTTTGCACGGCAGTCTTACTCAAAGTGCAGTGCATAGACTGGCCACCACCGGCCGGGGACAGATTTCTCCAAGTGTTTGATGAGGCAAGAATCTTGTGTCAGAATGTAAATCAATGACAGCACTAAATACACGACTTAATTCAGGTCTGCATTTTTTTTTTTCTTTGTAGCAAGACCTTGTGGATGAAGGAAACTGTGCGGGCTCCATGTCTCAACAAAGATCAGTACTCTGAGGAGCACAGCTCTACTGGCTTCCCTTGGGCTTTCCCAGTGATTCGCTACCTTTAATCCGGATTCATGAAATACCTGCACACTTATGTGACCGCCTCGCTCAAGTGAGTTGAGAGTGGTGGTGCCTGTAACACAGCAGCGGTCCAAACATTACACAAGTCATTTCCAGGAACGACATTCCTCCTCTGCTGGGAACCTCAAGTCTGATTTTATCATTTTTAAACGTGCAATTAATATTGTGCCCAGTTTGCAAAACTAAAGCAAAAACACAGCTGTGGGACTTGTTGAGCGGTTTCACTCTCTGTAAATCCCAAGCAGCCTGCAGGCTTAAGTGACGCTCTCCCAAACACTGCTGATCTTGTTAACATAAGTCTAGTACCCACCTGGCACCATACATAGTAATTACAATACTAGAGGCCTGATGCATGAAATTCGTGCGAGAGTAGGCCTTCCTTCCCCTGGCTGCTGGCACCAGCTTCCCTCTGGCACCCGGGACTCAGGCTTACCTTGCAGCCCCGGCTTTGTCCGGAAGGTCGTCTGGTCTAATTAGCATATTATGCTTTTATTATTATAGACTAGAGGCCTGATGCACGAAATTTGTGCAAGGGGCTCGGCCCTTGCAGCCCCAGCTGCCTCAGCCCTCGCAGCCCCAGCTTCGTCCGGAAGGTTGTCCGGATGGTTGTTCTGCTGTTTGGTCTAATTAGCATATTAACTCTTTATTATATAAGATTATTGACTATATCCCCTGTGCTGTACTTTACATCCCTGTGACTATTTTGTGACTACCAGTTGTAGTTCTTAATCCTTTCACCTTTTTCACTCAGCCTCCCAAGTCCCCCTCCCATCTGACAACCTTCAGTTTGTTCTCTATTTTTATGAGTCTCTTTCTGTTTTGTTTGTTTAATGTATTCTTTAGATTCCACATATAGTGAAATCATATGGGACATAACCTGCTTTTCTCACTTAAAAACAAATTTTTATAGCAATTAACTGCCTCCAAATTCTAACTCTGAACAGCTCCTCCTTACAGTTTTAAAAACACCACTGAGGGCTGTGGCGTGACTCTTCTGATCACTGGTCCTTGAAAGCGAGTGGCTTCAGGCAGCAGACCGACAATGGCTGTCAAAAGGACACGTAAATGACTGGTGAGGGTGAGGAAACCCATCTTTCCTCTCCAAGGCCCGGGGTTCTTAGCTGCTGTGGGCTATGAGGGCTCCGTCTTGCCACGGCCCGGGGAAGGTGTGTGAGCTCCGCAGCTCCATGCACGAGTGTGGACGCACCTGTAAGCGCTCGGCCAGGATCTGAACGAGCATTTCCTCAGGGAGCACACAGCTCAGGAGCCCGGTCTCGCCTCCGATGCTGGTGCTGACACTAAGCCTGCGCGGTGTGGGTCCCGAGGGGAGAGGACTGGAGGAAATCTGCGGAGAGAAGGTTCAGAAGTGAGAACCCAGCTCGGTGTCCCGACAACTCCTACACCTACAAGCCATGTGACCTCAGGAAAGTCATATCATCTCTCTGGGCCTCCTTTCCTCATCTGTAAAATTGGATATTCCTATCTTCCTCAAAGAATTGCTACAAGCTCTGAGTGGGAACACTGTGGAAGGTGCTTTGTGTATGTACTGAACAGCACCCATTTGTTCTTTCAGTCAAATCTTCTTTGGGCACCTACTATGCACCAGGGTCTCCTCTAGGACCAGGGACACAACAACACACAAGCCTAGCAATGTTGCTGCCAGTCTGGTCCTTGCATTCAAGTTGGGGAGACAGAAAAGGGACAGATGAATATGCAAATCAGTGACAATTTCAAATAGTAATGAATGCCAGCCAGGGAGAAAATGATCAGGTAAGGGAGTAAAGGGCAATGACAGGGTTGGACAATGGCTATTTAGAAAGGGTGGTCACATTACCTGGATATGAGAGAATATGAAAGAGCAAGACAAGATCCCGAGAGAAGAGTCTTTCTGAGAGGAAAGAGCAAATTCCCTCCACACGACTGCATGTGTGGGTATTTGGGAAGCACGTGGGAGCCAAGTCCAATGGGAACTGAGTGAGCAACGGGAAAGGTGGTCAGGCTTAAAGTCAAAGACATAGGCAGGCCAGAATATGCAGGGCTTGTCAATCATGGTAAGAAGTGTGGATTTTATTCCAAGTATTATAGGAAGTTGTTGGCATGTTTTAGGCAGACAAATGATTGGACTTCTATTTTTTTATTTAAAAAAATGTGTTTTTAAAAATTTATTTCAGAGAGAGGAAGGAAGAGGGAGAGAAGGATAGAAACATCAATGATGAGAGAGAATCATTGAGTGGCTACCTCCTGCATGCCCCCTACTGGGGATCGAGCCCGCAACCCCGGGCATGTGCCCTGATCGGGAATCAAACCATGACCTCCTGGTTCATAGGTTGACACCCAACCACTGAGTCACACTGGCCGGCCTGACTTTTATTTTTAAGAGAGCATTCTACCTGCTGCATGAGGTGACAAGAGTGGAAGCAGGAAGGCTGGTGGGTCATATATCTCCATGGTCAAGGCAGGAGATGATGGCCGCAGGACACTCACAGGGGAGGTGGTGAGAAGTGGCTGACACAGGATATAGTGTGGAACAGAGCCAATAGGATTTGAGATGAGACATGAGGAAAGAGAGACATCCAGAATGATTTTTTGAGTGTTGACCTGAACAAATTGAAAAATGGTGAAGTTATTTATCAAGAAAGAAAAGACCGAGGAAAGGACAAGTTTTTTTTTGTATTGTTTTGTTTTATTCTTTTTTGAGGCAGCAACAACCACTTTTTACAACATATAAATTTTGAGATGCCTCTAAGCCATTTGATAGAGATATTAAATGTGGTTTGGGTATATGAACCTAAGCTTGGGGAGAAATTAGGGATGGAGATAGAAATTTGAGGGTCCTAAGCATAATGAAAATACTCAAGCATTTTAATATTTAAGAAAACATTGAAGTATATGAAGAAAATATTTAAGTATTTAATGAATGAACTGGATGAGATTACCTATAAAGAAAAGAGAGATACAAAAAAATAAAAGATTAGAAGACTTAGTCTTGGCCTAGTCCAGTGGTCAGCAAACTCATTAGTCAACAGAGGCAAATATCAACAGTACAATGATTGAAATTTCTTTTGAGAGCCAAATATTTTAAACTTAAACTATATAGGTAGGTACATTGTTATTAACTTAATTAGGGTACTCCTAAGGCTTAGGAAGAGCCACACTCAAGGGGCCAAAGAGCCACATGTGGCTCGCGAGCCGCAGTTTGCTGACCACTGGCCTAGTCTGAAAAACTAGGTTGTCTGAAGATGGAGGAGTGGAGAGAGTCATTAAGGAGGTAGAGGGAAAGTAGAAGAGTATGGCGTTTTGGAAGCTAAGTGAAGAAAGTCTTTCTGGAGGAGGGGTATCAGCTGCCAAGAGATCATGTAAGATGAGGACAAAAAACTGGATTTGGCAAGAAGGATGCCAATGACCTCGAGGACAAAGGCCTCACTGGAATAGGTGGCTCCTGGCAGCCCCCATTCAGAGGCAGAGAAAGGTGGTGAGGACGAGGAAGCAATCATGCAGCCATTCTCTGAGAGAGAACCTGAAAGATGGGGTAAGAGCTGGAGGGCAACCTGGGGTCATGGGAAAATATTTTTAAAGATTTTAAAATGTTTTCATAAATATAATAAAAGCATGTATCGATGCCGATGGGAAGTATCCAATATATAGGGGAAATAAACAAATGGTCGAGAGAGGGGAGAATTGCAGGAATTTAGCTCTTGAGTAAGAGAGAAGGGATCGGGTCCAGTTGCAGGGCCTTGGATAAGAGCAGGGACAGTTACTCTGCTGTGGGGAAGGCATGGCATTGGCCTAGGACCAAGGCTGTCTGGTAGAGCTGGTGGTGGGAGGATAAGGCATTGTCTTCTGGTTGTTGCTAAGATCTGTCACCTTCTGATCATTAGCTAAGAATGAGGAAGAGGTTCGGAGAGTGATGACAGCAATACAATGGTTATCTTGAAGAGATAGAGGGCCAATTTGCTAGGACAGACCAAAGGGTCGGCTTGAGATTTGTAGTCTTCAGCTTAAATTAAGACCATTTGGGAGAAATGAGGATTTTCTCCAGCTATGTTCAGCTGTCCTGAATGGAGGAGGTGGAGAATTGGGTTTACCAGGGCTAAAGTTTTGCTTGAAGAGTACTAAGAAGGGGAAGGGGCAAGGGAGTGGCAATAGTGACAGACCACAGAATCGAAACTGGATAAGAAAGGAAGAGAAGGGGGGTGGAAGGCAGTGAACATGTGGACTGGATGCTTTGATGAGTAAGTACATCTGAAAAGTTAGAAGATGGTTGTTGGAAAGTAGGATGTGCGATATAGGGATCTTGGAGTTTATGGGTAAAATGAGCAAAGTCTAGGCTATGATCACAGTGAGTGGTGAACAGCGGAGGGTGCCATGGAATTGAGAAGTGAAAGTGTTGGATTAAACATCATTCAAAAGATCAGGACTTCTAACTGGTGCTTTTGTAGAACAAGGTGATTTTGAATAAATTACCTTATATTACAGGTCATGTCTTCGTTATATAACATACATTTCTTCCCACTTGCAACTAATGACTGCAATTTTAACAGCAAGCTCAGGCTCTAGGACAGTGGTTCTCAACCTTCTGGCCCTTTAAATACAGTTCCTCATGTTGTGACCCAACCATAAAATTATTTTCGTTGCTACTTCATAACTGTAATGTTGCTACTGTTATGAATCGTAATGTAAATATCTGATATGCGGGATGGTCTTAGGCGACCCCTGTGAAAGGGTCGTTCGACCCCCCAAAGGGGTCGCGACCCACAGGTTGAGAACCACTGCTCTAGGAGAACGTTAGAAGACCAAACAGCCATCTCTGGGTAAAGCGCTCTTATAGTGACTGTGACTGTGACTGCTGTCCGCACTGTGGGAGGCCTGTCACACTGGAGCTGTGCAGGCAGCCACATGTGGGGATCTGTGAGCTCTGGTTTCTATTGTGATCTTTTACAGGTTTTAAGTTCCCTGTTCAGTGAAAGGGGACTGAAGTCCGCATTGGGATTTTGTGTTGCCTTTGATAAATTCTAAAAAGCCTTACTTCACTGTTCAGATGGACAGAATCAAAGCAAAGGAAATGGTTCCCCATGACACCCTATTAAATACGAATAGATGGCTTCTAGTTCATCCATACATACCTGTTTAAAGAACACATATTAGATATTGGAAAAGAGGGTTAAAAGGATGTCGTTTCAGAATATATTGAATCAATGGTTTCAGTTTTCAAGGTGTTAAAAAAACACATGTGACTAAAGTAAGGACCAGAGACATCACTTGGCATAAATTCAACCCTGGGTGATGCCCCGTTCAACCAACATACCTCCTGTCACACAGAGACCTTCGCCTCCAGTCCATCCACTTGCCCCATCCAGTGCTCCATTATCCACATGCCCTCCGTTCACCTGCCCCAGCCAATGTGTGGGCCTCCTCTCTTATAGGGACCTTCATCTCCACTCTATCCACCTCAGCAATCTTCTCTAAAACGACCTCTTCCACTACCCCTACAGAACTCTAAACGGTAACAAGACCTTCAGACCCTTTCCCTCTTCCTATTTCTCTCATTCTATCGTCCTCTGAGTTTCTTCCCTTCCTGGCTGTCTTCCTATATAGATGCCACTTTCAACTCCCTTGCCCCTTATTCAGAGCACACCCTGCCCCTGCAGGGATGAAAACGTCTCTCTCTGCCTCTGAATGGGGGCTGCCAGGAGCCACTTAGTGAAATCTGTGAAGGTGTGGCTTCCTGTCTTGCTGGGCCTTCAGCATTCTAAACTACCTTTTCTTCTGTCCACCACCAATTCCTGGTTCTATTCCTCACAGTGGACATATTAGTACTTAGCCACTCTCCTCAAGATGCTCTGCAACCCAACCTCCGCCCTATTTCCGGCAAAGACCCGGGGTCCTGCACACATCTTAAAGTTACCCAGTAAGACCTCCTCCACATTCTGCTCTCCACCTTGCTTCTGCCACATGCAGCTGTGTCTGGTTTTCACCTTTACTAACTCTAGAAGAAGCTAGCTCCTTTCTCTGAAATTATGCTTGGTCCTGCCCCTTTATGTCTCCTTCTGGACTGGCATTCCCTCTTGGGAATCACCTTATACTTTTCCTTCCCATCTTTATAGACCTCCTTTCAAAAAAAGAACTCTCTTGACCCTGGGTTTGCCCCTCTAATGAACACTTTATCTTTTTTTTTTTCAATTTCTTTCAAACATCTCAGAAGCCTACAATCACTGGACTCTACTTTCCAAGCGACAACTCGTCACACACTTGTCTGTCACAGTGCCATCCGTCTTTGGCTTCAGCACCTGCTATTCTCCTGAGATTGTCCTCAAAGTCCCTTGGCATATGGCTCAATTCTCTGACTTTCTAATGGCTTTCCAAGACTCTCTTGTAGGCATCCCACAACTTATATTAATGGTTTTTTATCTTTAGCATTCCTTTAGTATGAAATTGAGCCATATAAAATTGCTATGACGTTCCCAAATGGTTGAATATTGGCAATTTTATATGGTTTAACCTAATTCTTTTTACACAGCTATTTGTCACCAATTTCTTTTTTTTTTTAATCCTCACTCAAGGAGTGAAGATATTTTTTCATTGATTCTAGAGAGAATGGAAGAGAGGGAGAAGGGGGAGAGATGGGAGGAGGAAGAGAGAGAGAGAAACAGTGATATGACAGAAACATTGATTGGTTGCAAACACACTGATTGGTTGTCTCCCACATGCACCCTGACGGAGGGTGGGGATCGCACTTGCAACCTAGGTACCTGCCCTTGACTGGGAATTGAACCTGCAACTCTCCAGTGCACAGGCCGATGCTCTAATCACTGATCCACACAGGCCAGGGCACCAATCTCATTTTACTGCAAACATTTGAAGGTGTGATACTTTCATTAGACTCTTAGTGCAGCTTGAGTGCAGGGGTTTTGCTTTATTTATCTTCACTTTGCCAGCATTCAGCCCAGTGCCTATACTATTAAAGGCACCTATTCAACACCTGCTGGATGAACCTCCTTTCAGGAGGAGTGGTGCAGGGACAGTGCTCAGGCCTGCCTGGCAAAGGCACCCATTGAATGAAGCTGTGCTGACCTGGTTGCAGGATGTGGAGGTGGAGGATGGGGGGAAGAGGAGGAGGAGGGGGAAGGAGAAGGAGGAGGAGGA